TATTTTATTAAATTGTTGGATATTTAGAAAGTATAAATTTGGAAATAATACTAACTTTAATATTTTTAGAATTGGTTTCCGATATAATCTTTAAAGAACTATTTAACTTTCCTATCTAACTAATAATCCCAGAATGTGTGTTTTCTGTCTGTCTGTCTGTCTGTCTGTCTGTTTGTAATTTCCGAGCGGCTTAATCAAGAAAACGGTAAGAGTTGTGGGACTGATTTTTTCGGTAAAGTGCCGACAAAACTCTGACGAAGTTAAATGATAAAGGTTTTTTAAATCAGTCGTTGGTAAGTGGTTTAATTGATGGTTTTGTACCACAAATGTTACATAAAATTGCTTGAGCAGAACGGTAAGAGTTACGGGGCTCGCATATGTAGCTGCATAATTAGTGTAATTGAGTTACCCGGGTAAGATTCGCTGTCTATACTATAATCTTATTAGGGGAGGGGGCACTGTTTGGACTGCAGAGAGAGAGTTCATACTTTCTAACTTTCATAGGACAATGTTATGCGTGTTCACAAATATGATAGGCGGGTGTGGTGTTAAGGGTTAATTTCTATTGATTATTGTTTAAGATACTATTACTATTGTTTAAGATACCATTGGATACGTGAGGGCACTCCGAATAGAATTACTCACCTAATGCGGGTTTTGACTCAACGGGTAAATGCTCCTACCCTTTTTAACTGCGGCAGTGAAATCCCGGCCGAAGGCCGGGTTACACTAGTAATGTTAAGGGGGCATACACCAAAACAGTGGTTTGTGCCGTCCAGACCAAATGACCTCATAGGCAGTTCAGTGACCTTCTAGCGCACCGTTTCCACACCAAAAAAAATTATTTTGAGAATACCCATTTTTGTAATCGACCATTTCCTGGTTAAGAGTGCAATTTTCAGGAAAAATTATTTTGTGGTTGAGACGCTATAAGTTAATCATTTCTTGCGGTATCGGGTTGAAATTTTGCTCGCCGTTTATTCACATCTGTTTCAAGGTGTGTGTAAAATCTTGATATCGTATCTAAAAAGGCTGGTGTGTTATGAATTTTTAAAGTCAAAAAGCTAAAATTGTCCTTTTCAGGCTTATTTTAACAAAAAGTCAGTCAGGGAAGATCGGATTATTTGATGCTTGATATCAAATTGTTCTCTGAATTCTGGCGCAGTTTTTGATGCCCTCAAAAATGTTTTTACTCATTCACCTTCTGATCTATTGGACCTCAAAGCCAAACAACAAATTTAGGCACATTTTTCGTTTTTAATATTTACTGATTTTTCCAAAATTTTGATAGGAATGTGCTAGTGACTTTTTGAAGGGTGCAAAATAACCGCAACTAGCACATTTATATATGAGTTATGAACAACAAAACACCCTAAAATGCTTCCCTTTGAAGTTATGGGAGAAAATGTGATTTTTTGGCTTTGCAGATAAAAAATCACATTTTCTCCCATAACTTCAAAGGGAAGCATTTTAGGGTGTTTTGTTGTTCATAACTCATATATAAATGTGCTAGTTGCGGTTATTTTGCACCCTTCAAAAAGTCACTAGCACATTCCTATCAACATTTTGGAAAAATCAGTAAATATTAAAAACGAAAAATGTGCCTAAATTTGTTGTTTGGCTTTGAGGTCCAATAGATCAGAAGGTAAATGAGTAAAAACATTTTTGAGGGCATCAAAAACTGCGCCAGAATTCAGAGAACAATTTGATGTCAAGCATCAAATAATCCGATCTTCCCTGACTGACTTTTTGTTAAAATAAGCCTGAAAAGGACAATTTTAGCTTTTTGACTTTAAAAATTCATAACACACCAGCCTTTTTAGATACGATATCAAGATTTTACACACACCTTGAAACAGATGTGAATAAACGGCGAACAAAATTTCAACCCGATACCACAAGAAATGATTAACTTATAGCGTCTCAACCACAAAATAATTTTTTCCGAAAATTGCACTCTTAACCAGGAAATGGTCGATTACAAAAATGGGTATTCTCAAAATAATTTTTGTTGGTGTGGAAACGGTGCGCTAGAAGGTCACTGAACTGCCTATGAGGTCATTTGGTCTGGACAGATTTGGTGTATGCCCCCTTAATATAATCAGATATTTTAACACTCGTCACCATCAGACCCATCATGTGATCCGGGAAAGTACTTTGACAGTCAACAATGCAGTGACTGTAAAGTTGACACTTACAGTCAACAATGCAGTGACAGTAAAGTTGACAATTACAGTCAAGGAGGACTCGCTCTGTCTTGCACTTCCTGTTCTCCTGGAAAAACCGTCAGATCTGGATCTGGGACAAATAAACAGGATTGTGAACCATGGAGTAGGTTTAATTTTGAAAAAGTTTGTTGTGAATCAGAAGTTGTCATTGTTAACAGACCGACCCGACGCGAGCTAGTTCGCAGCGCTTTGCCTGAAATACAGACGCGTATCATCCGTCAATAGGAATACAATTCAGAAGCTGTGAAATCGAGTTAAAATGATATTATTGCGAGCCATAATCAATAGGTTTGGCAGAACGGCGGACGGCTATTGCCTTTGGTTTTGTTACTATAATATTGTGTCACTCACACTAACCTCACTGATTGATGACTGGTCAAATTCAGCCAAAAGTGTAAATCACACTTTTGGCTGAATTTGACCAGTCACAATGTGAGAGGTACGTTTGCCCATTGACTGATTTTATTTCAGGTCGAGGCCAGGAAGCATAACAAAGATTATTCTTAGAATAAGTATTCTATAAGTATAAACACGGGCTGATAAATCATACGGGCTTCCAGTTCCAATCCAATTTACTTATTTAAAAAAATTGTAACGATTTCAGTCATTTCAATTTTTTTCATTTTTGGAGACTTTTTATTGACAGACTACCCCAGATATTTGACAAAATTAGACTCCAATTTGCAATTTTGCCTCGTTCTTAAAAAAAGCACAAATAAAAATGTAACAAAATACAAATCTCGTGGAACTGTTTTCTCTAAATCTAATTTGTATAGTATTACTATAGATCAAACGCCTGAACTTTAAATTCAGAAATGGCAAGCTGTAAGCGACAGTTTTATTAGAATACGTTATTTTTAAGTCGGCTCTCGTCAGAGTAAAACGCTAGTCTTTGTACTATGGAACGATCTTGAAATTATTACTTTTTAGTTAACACTGCGAACAAGATAAAATAATTTACAGAAGCCTTTATAACTTTGTTAGGGTCTAATGCTTCTACCCGGCAAATTTCATTCTTTCAACCTAATAAATAAACTACAAACCTTGTCCTTGAGTTGACAGAAATTCCTTGTGTGGATTAAGAATACTACCACAGCAACTTTGTCTTGGGATCAATTAATTTAAGATGCTGAATTTCTCATTTTTAACACATTAAATTGTAAATTCTAAACAATCATCGTCACAAAAAATTGTAGTTTGTCGGAGATAAAGACAATAATCGTTTTTACCTCGATCAGTATCTCCTTAAATTAATTGTCCTTAATCAAATTACTTGTTATCGTCAACTTCTTATATCTTGCCCAAAAAATATAAAAAGTTTTGACACACGTTTTCATAAGATCACACCAACTGATCAAACTGATTTATATGAAAATGAGTTGATTGGTTACCTATTACTCTGCAATCTGGCTTTTTGTCATAACTGAATTCCTCCCCACTGTCACATACCACGTGCTCTCCTCCGAGTTGGAATGTTCCTGCAAAACACGTGACCTCTGATTGTGCACCCTCGTATGCCGGGAGGGAGGGGCTGAACATGTTGGGGAGGTATGTCTCGTCAAACCCCGTACACTCTGGTGGATAGTTGTCATGAGATGGAGCAGTTATAAGAAGTGATTAGTTGTGTTGGATTAAATTGAGTTTCATGTGAAAATTAAATGTTCATTAATTACAGAACAAAGTAGAAACTCACGCAGTACGCAGTCCGGTTTCTCCTCAAACTCCCATTGGTCCCCACTTGTGCACGTGACCTCACTGCCTCCTTTGTTGACCCGGGTTGCTTCACACTCTACTGTTACTTTACTTCCAGCGTCTATTTCCTCCCCGGCACTTGATGGCTTCACATGGTTCCAGTCGCTTGGGTACGCTGTACATGGATCTGAAATTAATTAGTTTTTACTCGTCTGGTTGTCCCCTTCATGGTGGTCCACCTTTTTTGTCGTTTTATTACGTGCAAATCATAATTTGTATCATAATGTTCAAGAGATACAATTAAAAGTGATAAATTTCGAACAGTGTAACCCCAAAAGGCCACTCACCTAGTTGCAATCGAAAACTTTTGGATATGTCATCTTTAGCCCCGAACTGAATGACATTCGTGGCATGAACTTCACTCATCAGGCAGGCATCTTCACAAGAGGTCACTAATTCTCCATCGAGAAGAAACTCGATATGCGCATAGCTAACATTGATAGTCCAAATACCAGTGTCACTATTTTCGATCTCCAAGTCATTCTTTTCAGTATCAGGACAAGATGCTGTCATGGTGATTGGTATGAATTTATTTCCTATCACGTCTATTTGAAGATTAATTTTATCAGTGATAATTGTAAGGTCTTAGCCGTGGTACAAGAGAAACAGGGAAATCGTGAATCAGGATCTAAACCTAGACCCTACAAAATATAATAGGTGATTAGTTATCAGTCGAAGTCTAAATATAAAATATAGTATCAATTTATAACAGCTCTCTCTCTCGTTAGATCGGAAAGCACATGTTAAAATGCGTCTCGTTCCTGAAAACGCGCATTTATTAAATGCTAACGCCGCGCCGCACTGCACATAGATTATCAGTTCGGCCGGCAAACAACTTTCTGTGAGGCGCCAAATCAAAAATTTCGTGTTTTCCTGTCAGAACTAGAGTGATCTAAAAACAAACTTAGTGCTCCCGGCTAATTATAAACTTGGATTACTGTATAAAAGTTATAATTTAATTTAAAAAAACAATTTCTTAAAAACTGGTCATCGTGACTGGTTATTGAAATATCACGTTGCTTACTTGCCATATCTGTTTAACATTTTGTAATTTACCCGAGGTACATCTCTCAGATTTGCTCTTCTAACATTAACATTTTCATCATCAGTTTGCTGTCTAGCAATAACGTCATCTCTAATATCAATCTCAGAAGGTTCATCATTATTATCTCGTAAATTATCTGGCAGTTCAATATCAGGGTCAACTATACCCGGTTCAACTAACGGACTAACATCCTGCTGCTCACTCACTGTCTCACCTCTCACTGAAACAGGGTCTTTGTCAGATACGTTACCTTGTTGAAGAGAGATAATAGGTCTTCTCAGGCTTTGAATGTGATCAGCATGCTTCCTGATGATGCGTCCTTCATGCTCAATATCATATGTGTTGGATGATTCGCCCAGTCTTCGCACTACTGTGGCTGGTCTCCATTCTTTTCCATCAATCTGGACACGTACTGGCTGCTTTGGACAAAATATTCTAGGATTGCTCTGCAACACTTGTTGTTGTTTGTCAGCTTGCAAGTTTTCCACTTTCTCCTTGTCATGTGGCGTGAGCATGTGTAACTTAGATCTTAATGTCCGATTGTACATCATGATTGCTGGTGTCTGACCTGTGGTTGCGTGCGGAGTGTTCCTGTAAGTTAACAAGAAATTATTGAGATTCTTGTCCAAGTCTTTAGAGTCATTCCACATCTTTTTCATAGAATTCTTGAACGATTGTACCAGTCTCTCTGCGATGCTATTAGATTTAGGGTGGTATGTCGGTGTTGGAATGTGTCTTATTCCGTTTTGCTTGAAGAAAACTCTGAGTTCATCTGAAGTAAACTGGGGTCCGTTGTCTGATACAACGACACATGGTAACCCAGTTCTAGCAAATATGTGTCTTAGAACTGTAATCAGTGCTCCTGTTTTCGTTGAGTTCATCTTAACAATGTCAGGCCACTTAGAGTAGGCGTCCTGAACAAGTAACCACATGTGTCCCTGGAATAGTCCTGCAAAGTCCATGTGGATGCGCTGGTATGGTCCAGTGGGTCGGCACCACGGATGGTCTGTTAAAGCTGGTGCTGATCTACCAAACTTGTTACAGTCCACACATGTCTTTACCATGTTCTCCAAGTCTTGATTAAGATTAGGCCACCAAACATAGCTCCTCGCAATTGTCTTCATACCGCTAACCCCTGAGTGAGTCAAGTGCAACATGTCTAACACTGACTGCCTCAGTTTCACAGGTATTACCACTCGATTTCCCCAGATCAAGCATCCTTGCTCCGTAGATAGTTCGGTCTTCCTTTTCTGAAATTCTTTCATCTCTTCGTTAGTACAGTCTAGTTTTGCTGGCCATCCCTCCATAGTGTAAGCAAACACACGAGATAGAATCGGATCCTTCATCGTTTCTCTGACCACTAGTCCTGCATCTAACAATGCTTCTTCCATCGTGACCTTGAGGACTGTGTCATAAATAGTGGTCTCCTCCTTGTGTTTAGTAGGCGCTGGCAGCCTGGAAAGTACATCACAATTGGCATGATCTTTGGTAGGTCTGTACTTGATACTATACTGATAACTCATTAAGGTCAATCCATATCGAGTTATTCTAGCTGTTGCCATCTCTGGCAGTTTCTTCTTTGGGTCAAAAATAAATGTTAATGGCTTGTGGTCCATCACTAACTCAAAATGATTTCCCCACAAATACACATGAAATCTTGTGACCGCCCATACTATAGCTAGGGCTTCACGATCAATCTGACTGTAGTTCTTCTCGGCTTTCGATAAAGTTCGTGATATGTATTCGATCGGTCTTTCTCCTTCTTTGTCCACGTGACTCAACACCGCTCCAAGTCCTCTGCTGCTGGCATCAGTGTCAAGCTTCAACTTCTTGTTAGGATCATACAGCGTCAACACTGCATCAGAACAGAGCATGTCTTTTAACTCTTTGAATGCTACTTCCTCCTTTTTGGTCCATTTCCAGGGTGATGATCTCAAACTATCTAGAGGTTCAATAACTGAACTTAAGTTGGGCAGGTATCTACGATAGTAGTTGACCGCACCCAGAAATGAAATTAGTTCGGCCAGGTTAGTCGGTGCTGGAGCTGCTTTCAAATCTGCCACCTTGGATTTTACTGGCTGTATTCCATGTCTTGATATCTGATGACCTAAATAAACAACTGAGTCCTGAAAAAACTTGGACTTAGCCCGGTTACACCGAAATCCTCGTTCCTGCAATCGTCGTATTACCTCTTGAAGATTCTGTAAGTGCTCCCGGTCATCTTTTCCTGATATCAAAATATCATCGATCCTACAGCAAACTTTATCAATGTTTTTCAACGTGTTGTCCATGGTCTCCTGAAAGATACCGCTACTACTTGACACTCCGTAGGGTAATCTATTCCATTGAAATAGACCGAGATGAGTGTTTATCACTGTAAGCTTCTTGTCCTTCTCTCTGACTTTCACATGATTGTAAGCAGACTTCACATCGATAACTGAAAACTTCTATCCTCCAACCATTGAATTAAAGCATTCTTCAGTACTCGGTAAAGGATACATCTTTGTCTCTAGGTGCTTGTTGAGGGTACTTTTGTAGTCACCGCATATCCTTAACTTTGGCCCACGCTCGACAACTACTATAGGCGTAGCCCAGGTACTGCTTTCAACTTTTTCCAAGATATTCTGATCAACCAAGGACATCAACTCATTCTTGACTTTCTCTCGTTGAGAATACGGCAAGTTCCTAGCCTTTAAGAATACGGGTTGAGCTTCTTCTTTCAGCGTGAATTTAGCTTCGACTCCACTGATCTGTCCAATTCCAGGTTTGAATATCTTGTCGTGTTTTAAACTTTCCACGTAATCCGTGATCATCTTCTCAGTTACTATTCCTTCAGAGACTTGGTTGAGAGGGTATCCTTCTTCACTCTGAAGGTCTTTGTCAATCTTTGGCTCTTCGTCTTTACCAATCTTTGACTCTTCGTCTTTGTCAACAACAGACATTACACAAGACGACTCGCCTCTCATCTCACCCAAAACATCTACTGAACATTGAGAATTACATGACTGATCACACTTCACTACACTACTACATAACTTACTACATTTAGAGGGTACATTAGACACAACACGGTCTTTTCCATTGAATAGCTGTTCCAACCAATCGTAACCACAGAAAACTTGAATCCAAGTTCTGCCAAAGAGAGTCGGAAACGGTTCCTCCACAACATACAGCTCCATGTTCTCTCTACATTTACCTTTAAAATTCACTTTAACTTTCATCTTCCCGAGTATAGACTTAATCTCGCCGTTGGCAACTTTCAGAGTGTTCTTCGTCTTTACCAGTGCATCATACACAACTGACGAACTCACACGAGCACTCTCACACAAAGCTTGCACCGTTGTTACGCTCACACTACTGCCACTATCAAACTCCATATTCAAAAAAATATCATCATTAATAGTAACTTTAACCATTGGTTTCTGACAAAAAACATTATCAATTCCAATTTCAAGTGGTTCAATAACATTACCTGACACCGTAACGTTACCTGACACATTCACGTGTCTCACTGACCACTCCAAAGAACTATTGACATCTGGACTCTGACTCTCAATCTCACTCTGCTCTTCAACATTGTGAGTTTTCTTCACAACATAACAGTTCTTCTTGATATGTCCAGTTTTCTTACATTTGAAACATTTAGTTTTGCAGTCGTCCTTAGTGTGTCCACTCAATGTACATCTCGTACATACAACTGAAGCTTTGAATTTGTTCGGCTCCCGTCTCTCCCATGATACTCTGTTAACATCACTCTCGCTCATGTTCATCTGCGCTGCTTCCTCCTCTGTCTTCTCAGCAGCTAAAGCTAACTCTACCGCTCTCTCAAAAGTTAAGTTGGCTTCCCCTAACCAGAGTTGAAAAATACGTATTTTACGAATTTTATAAAATATCAAAAATACGTTAAATACGGCGTATTTTATTTTCGTTGAATAAAATACGTAATAAGTGTTATTGTACCATTGATAGCTCCAATAAAGTAATAAGTACTATTGCTTTATATAAATTTACGATTTTATCAAAACTCGCGTAGCTCTGTCGTTTTTCACCTCGCATATGACTTCAGAGTACTGGGCACGTGCTATACCAAAGCATTAAAGCGTTGAAGTTAAATAGAAATGTGTCTGAAAAAAATGCAAACGAATGACATAACTTTAGTCTTTGAATGAAATTTCAAGAAAAACGTATTTTAACGTATTTTTGACGTATTTTATTTCTAAGCAAAAATACGTAAAATACGGCGTATTTAAAAAATTATTTCACGTATTTTTCAACTCTGCCCCTAACAGCCTTTTCTTCATTTTCACACTCTTCATTCCAGCAATAAATTGATCAAGCATTCTCTCCTGAAAGTTCTCAAAGTCACAAAAGGTTGCGATTGTTTTCAGTTTGTTGATGTATTGACCAACTGTCTCGTTCACTTGTTTGCAGGAAGAAAACTTATATCTCTGAAGATGTACTGCAGGTTGCGGCATCAAGTGATCTACTAACCTCTTCTTCAGGGTGTCATAGGTGCACAATCTCACTTCATCTGGGTTGCTCAAACTCTTGATTAGCCCATACATGCCACTGTCCAAGTACGATAGGAAAACTGCGGTATTTCCTTGAGTCGCATTCTGCGCATCCGTCCTTGCTGTTTCCACTGCTGCAGCGTTGCTGTTGTCATTAACGAGTTCCGGTATTGCTGGTACCGCTCTGAATAGCTGATTGGCTTGAGCGAACAACTCAAACCTCTCAAACCATGTTCTGCATTCTGCATCTGATGTTAAGAGTTCCAACTGTCCAATAATCCTCGTCGCCATTGTAAGGTCTTAGCCGTGGTACAAGAGAAACAGGGAAATCGTGAATCAGGATCTAAACCTAGACCCTACAAAATATAATAGGTGATTAGTTATCAGTCTAAATATAAAATATAGTATCAATTTATAACAATAATATCACCTTGTCCCCTTTCACTTAGTATGATAATAAAATCGTCATGAGTTTCAGTAATTATCAACTCAGTTTCTACTTGGAAGGTATACGGGATATCTGGCACTGATATTCTCGAGCCTCTTTCCACATTTTGCCACTCTGAAAATCAGTTTGTTTTAAATCTGACCAAATACTTATAGGTAGAGCTCAAAAGTTGAATTATAATGCTGAATAAAAACTTTTAAAAATTAGACATTAAAAACGTAGATTTTCAATGATACCCCTGGCAATAAATATAATATTTTTAACCTTTCGTAGCGACTAAGCTCTTACATCCTCTGAAACTGCTTAGCAGAACTAGTAGGAATAGTGCACCCCACAGTAGTGTACCCCCTAGTAGTGCACCCCCTAGTAGTGCACCCCCTAGTAGTCTTATTCGCCACATGATCAGTTACATTTCCTTTCTTCAACGCGTTTGCTAAAATGTGACGTTTAAATTGTATTAGCTAAATTACATTAGCCATTACTTCCAGCATAAAACGGTCAACTAAAATTACTGATAAAGCTATTGATACTAAAATATAAATGGTATAAACTGGGTGGAAACTATAGCTAGAATGCCCGAATGTTGGTTGTATATTGTTCAAGGTAGAACTTTAACTAATGTAATGAAGTAACTTCAAAAATGCAGCTGGTATTTCAGTCGGTGCATTGCCATGTTATTGTTATAAAATAGAAATAGGTCGTTATTGTAATCTGTTGGGAAATAGACAAGAAAACTCGCACTGATGATTGGACACAAATCTGCACCTGTTTGTAAACAGAGACACACAAACACCAGGACTATAGCACTTATAAGGGGGGGGGGGGGGGTCTTAATTTTGATAAAGACCCCCCTGGCTCCCTTAATATAGATATCTCTAGCAATGTTCAATGTTTATAAGGAGCCGGATGTATACGTCAATCGCCGATTATCTACGCTAATCATGCAGCCGCTGGTGAGGGAGCTGTACTTGTTAAAAATTAAGGACGTTAAGAACCTAAGAAGATAAATGTATTACAGCCACCTTAAGGTGTTATCAAGTTATTACCTAGGTGTTAGTGAGTTATTACTCCTGGTTCAGAAACAACAATGATTTGCATGTCGAGTATTTACAAGATAAATTGAATCTAACTTAATATATCAATGAAAGATTACTGCAAAGAGGAGGATTACCGATTAACTGTCAGGAGTCAGGATTCAAAGTTAGACTTTAGAGCTATACTAAAAAACGTCAAAAATCCTCTGAAAGCTTTGAGTGTCAGCAGATTAATTTTTTCAGACGGATCTGTCTGTACTACTATAGTAGAATTGAAGTTTGAGAAATAAGACAAGATTAGGATTACAAAACAAAGAAAATAAGAGGTTGCCGACATAGAATTCGACATTGTAACTGCATAATTATACTCTAATTTAAGCTAAATATGTTATGCCTAT